TCTTTACTGACTACAGATGGTAAAATATTAGCTAAGGTATTAGCCAATAGATTGAAGAAGGTCATTCCGCATATTATTTACCCTGATGAGGCCAGATTTATGCCAAATATGTCAACAGATATTAATATCAGAAGGGCTTATTTAAATATGCAGGTGCCAGTCACGGGTCATATGGACCATGCCTTCTTAGCACTAGATGCTACTAAGGCCTTTGATAGTGTTGAGTTGCCATATTTGATGGCTGTTCTTAAAAAATTTGGTTTTGGTCCTATTTTTTGACAATGAGTCCAATTGCTGTATACGGCTCAATAAGAGTTAATGCCCTTCAATCCCCCTCTTTTAGACTTTTTCGTGGCACTGGGCAGGGGTGTCAATTGTCCCCCCTGCTTTTCGCCTTTGCTATAGAACCTTTGGCCTACCTTATTCAGGCTTCAACAGATGTGATACGTTTAGTTAGAGGTGTTTCTGAAGAAAAAATAGCACTTTATGCAGATGGTGTCCTTTTGTTCCTATCTAGTATTTAGACATCACTTCCAGCAGTAATGAAATATATTGACAAATTTGGGAAATTTTCAGGCCTTGGCATAAACTGGGAGAAATCAATATTAATGCCATCGGACCCTTTGTCAACTCCCTTACCATCTGCAATCTCCTATTTAAGTACTTAGCGGTAACAATATTTACTTCATTTCAGACATTCATTCCAGACAATATTACCCCTTTGTTGTCTAGATTTCAAACGTAAAATAAAACTTGGAGTAAGTTACCTCTATCTTTGGTGGGTCACATTAACCTACTTAAGATGATTTGGATGCCCCAACTCTTATATTTTATATACAACTCCCCATTTTGGATCCCTCTGAGGATTTTTATTAAGATTAATAGCATATTTAGGCATTTAATCTGAAGAAAAAAGGTTACTCATATAAAATTAGAGACATTACAATATCCCAGTGATTCGGGAGGGTTAGCGGTCCCCAACTCAAGGCTATATTTTTTTGCAGCTCAATTGCAGCACCTTGCGGGTTAGGAATCTGAAGGACCTCCTAATGCTGCTCACTGACTATTTTCTTATATTTTCAAGGGCCGGTAACTACTCCATGTTTTGGAAGGGGCATTGGGGGGCATTTCATTAACTGCCATGCCTACTTTGGCGTTAATGTGTAGGGTGTGGGAGGAAACTAAGAAAATGTTAGGGATTTCTAATCTCACTAGATATACTCCAATATGGGGGAATGATAAGCTTTCTGAGCTTCTTGTTCAGGGCTTTCAGAGATGGTAAAGATCAGGGATCTCTACTCTAGTACAGCTCTATGAGAATGGAGCTTTTCGAGTAGTTGAGAACAGAGTTTTCCTTACCTCAAAGGTGGTTTTACAAGTTTCTTCAACTTAGTTATGCGCTATCTGCTCAATTCTCCTTCACAGTAGTGTCTTTTGCCCCTTCTCCATTACTAGACACAGAAGTTCAAGCAACTTTAACCAAGGGACTTATTTCAGAAACGTATGTAAATGTATTTAAGAAATTCTTATTGAAGTTTCCGAGCCCGTCCAGGGCAGGATGGGAACAGGATACTGGTTCCATCTTAGAGGAGATTTGGATGAAGATCCTTCAGACTCTTCCTCTGGTGTCTCTTTCCCCATCACATAGATTAATGAATATTTTTATTTTTCATAGGGTATATAGAACCCCTGATTTTCTTCATACTATAGGTGTGAAACCTGACCCAGCTTGTGCTAGATGTGGCAATCCTGGTACCCTTATACATCTTATGTGGCGGTGTTCCAAACTCCAGGAGATATTGGGCAGAGGTGGTTGGTACACTCAGTGGGCTTTTTGATGTGGATATTCCTATTGAACCACTTAACTGTCTACTGGGCTATGTAGACTCTTCAGTATCCATGCCTCCTATGGTGATTACAATCATATGGGTATTTTTGTGGCCTGCAGACAAATTGCCCTTAGATGGACCTCCCAACATCCACCTACTCTATCTGACTGGATTTTTGACCTTAATAAGCTTATTTCTTTTGAAAAACATACATATTTTTTAAGGAATTCTATGGATACATTCAGTGCTATTTGGTCAAAATGGATCAAACATGTTTCCTTTATGCTTACACTCAAGGAAACATGATATGTTTGTGCATATAGATAGCAGGTTTAGATGACTATTTGTAGATCTGGACATCTCTATGGTTGTAGCTCTCCATGAATATATTACGTCTTAAACCTGCAATGATAGCTGGGTGGGAAGGTTTTTTTTTTTGCATGCGTGGGTGTTTTGCGTTTCCTTTTTTGTGAAGCCCTGCATGGTGAGAGTTGTTTGTACAGTTTGTTGGTATTTGTTGATGAAAGAGAAAATAATTAATCAAAGCAAAAAAAAAACATTATGCACAATCTTGAGGCACCCCATTCTAAAATTTAAAAAATATATCTATAGCTTTACATGCCACAACAATTTCAACACATGGAGGACACTCAACATTAGAGAAAATGTATTCTTTCAAAGCAAATATACTTTTGCACACTTGTACTGACCAGTATTCCAGCATTTCTCTTCTCCATCAGTTTCTCTCCCTCACTCAGCTAATGTGCCCCAGTGCTGATGGAGGGGGACAGGGGAAGGGTAAAACAAGGATGCTGTGCAGTCACCCAACATCCTCCTCATCAACCGATGATATTACTGGTTGTTAGGAAGCCAGAGGCTGGAAGATTTTAACAGTGCACAATGAAAACCTGTGGATTTGTGTAACTAAAAGGCAGGCTTGATCCACCTGCTGGCTTGTATACCATTTTGCGGCAATTTTAGGCATTTTGCCAAGGCACCCCTGAAGAAATCTGAAGGCACCACAGGGTGTCTGAGTACCCTAGTTAAAAAGGCTGATATATACATCTAGCCTTTCGCCATCCCTTTCTGATCACAACTTTTTCCCATTGAAAACAACTTAATAATTCCTTTACAGACTGATCTAAAAAAAAATTACGCTTAATAAATATATCATATTTAAAAATAACTTATAATGGTAAAGTGAATACATAATCTGTAAACAAAACAGTCCCATATCAAACAGTGATCCTTCTTTGTTTAGACCCTTTAAACACAGCTCCACAGTGTTCTTTTTAGTTATGCTGATATCCACCACTAAATGGTACGTAAAACTCACTAGAGAGATGAAACCTTTTGTTACAGAAGGTCAAATGTAGACCTAGTAGAACTCAAAAGTATAACTTGGCAACTATCAAACTGATGCTCGCATTAATCTTTTTTATAAATATTTTTTGATCCACATCAATAAATACAATACACTTCTCTTTACCTGCTTTCTTTAAAATGAGGAAAAATTTGGGTCCTCACTGCACCACGCTGCATGAAAGCACAGCTTACATGAAATAAAGTTTTAGAACCTTACTTTATGCAATGGCAAGTGAAGCTTTTTTCTTGGCTTAGGCTTTTTCAGCTATGCATTAAAGATGGGCAATGGCCAAACAAGGGGATTAAATATAAACCTTTCCCCATAGGTTCTGCAATTAGAGGCAAGGGAATGTCATAAAATAAATTTTAAATACATGAATTTTAGTAAAATTGAAATGTGGTAGTATTAAGTGGCTATTCTACATATAAATAGTGCCATGGAGTTATTGTGTAACAATTTTTTACATTTTCCATTCAGGGATGGAATGCATTCTTACTAAAATATATTGATTTCACTTTTCATGATAACCTCTCTTTAACCTGTTGCCTCAAGCAGTATGGTTCCAGCAAACCAGCAGTAAGCCTGGTAATCCCCTTAGTGCCATCAAGTCAAGCTAAGTCTTGAAGACATATGTTAACTTGGCACATAGGCTGCGAGGAGATTTAGTAGAAAACTTCTTCTAGCAAACTAACTTTTCTCCTTCCTTTGACTTACCTGAGTAATGATTGTTTAAATCTTGAGAGGCTTTTAAAGAAGTAGACATTTCTGCAATAAAATGAGTGAGAAAAGTCATTGTAATGGACTCATAATTTACGTATTGATTTACAGTGATAATGCTCTAGTGCTGTCCTCAGCAGCATATGAATAAGTAACATTTTCAAGACAGAGACAAAGCATTAAAATCTGCTTTTCCATGTCAATTTTATCATCTCTAATATTCCATTATCTCAGTAGCAATGGCAACAGAATTATGCTTTTGCATCTATTGTGTCCCTTCACATTTCCTGTAATGTAATGGTGCCCGAGCAGTTTTTGCAATTAGCAATAGTAGATAATAAAATTATTCAACATGGGAACATTGTATGCACCTCCCAGTTTTCTGAAATTATTTGGGGTTATCCAATGATAAACATTCTCATTTATAGCAAGAAAAGTAGGCTTAGATAAGAATAATTCATTTGCAAACAAACAAACAGGAAAACATGAGTATAAGGACACAGCTGAAAAGGATTTTAGTGGTATAATACCCCCTAGCTCCAAATGTACCTCCTCTAGAATAAAGCCTCCCCAGATATATATATTATATATATATACACACACAATTGTATACTGTTCTTTTGTGAATATAAAACAATAGTGCAATTATATTACAAGTCCATTCCACAACTACAGGGCCTAACAGGTCAGACAAATACATGCCTCAAAAGCCTCCTGAGCAAGGCAACATAATAATTTATCCTACCAGCAAGAGTCTTTGATAAATTAGGTTGAAATACTTCAAGAATATGTTCGAGAAAGCTATTGAAACAAATAGTACATCACCAGCATTCAGTTTTTTTAAGAATGGTACATTTTTAGGGCATAGAAGCAATGACCATAGAATCCAATCAGATATTAACTTAATTTCTTTAATTTGAACCAAGAGCATAAGGCATGAAATGTAATTGGGTTGCCATAGTCCTTCCCTTCATTTCTTTTTACATGGCCCTTATTGTTGAGTATACTCTGGCCTCTGCTGCCACTTCTGTTATATTGTATATTACGATTGATATACTAGTGGTCTTATGAAATAGAAATCCTTTTTTATTCTGCATATTGTGACAGTGTGGCGATCTGTCACCCTGGATTCTCAACAAGGCAGGTTGAGGGACTCCAGGGTAAAGGTTTGATATGGAGGAAAGTGGCTTTTCACTTTCCTCCTTTGTTGTAAGGTCCATTTTGGGAGCTGGAGCCTGGAGATTTCGAAGCGATTTGGGAGGGATGAAATCTCCAATCCTGGGACCAGGTTTTGGGAATGGCCAGGAGACTGATTGCACAGGTGTGTGCAGGCCTTTTCAGAGAGTCAGGAGGGCTCCACCCCAGCAGATAGGAGTCAGGAGGGCTCCACCTGGAAGACTGGAGTCAGGAGGGCTCCACCAAGGAGAGGTGGAAGCCAAAAGCGGCAAGGAGCTGCTTGGTAGTAGCTATGTTCTAGTGGCCAGCTGTGTGCAAGAGCCATGGTTTTTGAAAGGGTCTGCAGGAGTCAGACGTAAGCCTGAAGAGGAAGGCCAGTGGAAGATTGTATATCTGAAAGAGCCAGGAGGCTGAATTTTTGTTTATGTGGATGATCGATACCCCTGTGTGGGAAACTTCTGTTTGAACTTTCATTTAAATAAAAGTGGGCTAAAAAAGGCCTTAAAAAAGCAAGCGAGTTGCTGTGTGCGTTTAAAAGCTCTACCACTTTGAAGCGAGTTCCCACATATGGTGGCGGATGCAGTGGGCAGAATTGGAGATCCCGGCGATTGAAGTAAGTTCATCAGTTATATGAACTGTGTTGGGTGCATATGTCTGCACTAGCTGTGTGTGCAGGTGAGGAGAACCTGCTAAAGAAAAGGACTTTGCCTTAAAGAGACAGTGTTCCATGCTGTTGCTGAACTGTGTAACACAGTGCTGTGTGCATGACTGCACAAAGATGGGGCGGTCAAAACAGAAAAAGGAGGCAATGTTTGCTGAAATGAGAGAGAGAGCCCTGTGGCTAGGGGGTTATATACCGCATGCCCCAGCCAAGCTGGGAAATTTAGATGTGGGTGAGGCTGCTGTGGACTGGTGCAAGCCGCACCTGGCAGCATTGAACCAACCTACAGAGGAAAGCAAGCCAACCTTCAGTGCAAGGAGAGAGCTGCAGGATGTCCGTACCTGGGAGAGGGGCGTTGTTGCCCCTGGCAACGCTGCTGCCATTAAACCAGTAGCTGTTGTGAAAAATGTGAATGTGTCACGGCTTGAGAGTTGGTCCAGCAGAGAGAAGCCTATGCTATGTGCAAGGAGAGGGGCTGACCAGAGGCCAGGACCAAGAGTGAAGGCCCATAGCAACACAGAGGAGGCCAGTCGGGCTGTCTGTGTACGGGGGGGCCATGTCGTACAAAGATCATGGCAAGTGGTATCAAGAGGAGCCAATACAGCGTGTTGGAAAGAGCCAGCAAAGTTCTTCTTGGAGAGTGCAATCTCCCATGGCGACGCCCCCGGGAGAAAAAGTAGTGCCTGGAAGGAGGAGCTGCATTGAAGATGTGGCTCAGTGTCCCAGCAAAGATAAGAGTGGAAATGTACCATGCCTGGAATGTGGTCAGTGGGGGCATGGGATCTTTTCCTGTCCCAGACTCTGGAATACCGCTGATACTGGGCAAATGTCTACAACATCAAGCCCAGATTCTTGTTTGAAAATGTTGGCGGCCGCCTCTGGCAACAGGGAGGAAGTTCCTGTTGGGCCTGCAGGGGGTGCCAGAGAGTCCATGGAGCCTATGAGGGCATCTGTTACTTCACCTTGGGGCAAGGGAAAAGTTGCCAAGGAAAGTGCAGTTGAGGATGCGTTTATGAGACGACGCACTCAAATGAAGATGGTGACACCTACTACTGTGGTGGGTAAGACTGTGTGTGATAAAACCATGGCTGGGACTGTCATGTTGAGAAGGACTGGTTATGAGACTGTCCATTCTGATGTAGGAGTGACCCCAGTTAGCTGGGCCACTGAAGGTGCTTTTGAGAGTGACTTTTCCCTGTGCAGTGCCTTGTACAGTGGGGAGTTAGGGGTTAAAGTTAAACCTGTGCCTGTGGTTCTCAAAAGAAAGTGATGTCACTAATGTGTGCCAGTCACATGTTGGCAGTAGGCTAGTACAGCCCACAAGAGCTACAAAATGCTAAATGTTGTTGAATGAGAAATGTACTGCTGTTGGGAAAACCCTGAGCTCTTGCAGTGCAAAAGCTGTAATTAAAGATGGCTCATTTCCCATAGCAACTGGTGGTAAGACAGCACAGGTGTCCTTAGACATCTCAGGGGTCTCCGTGTATTGGAGCCGGAGGTTGCCCGGGGACAACTGCGATGTCACTCTGGTTGAGCAGAGTGGAACTGCACCTTGTAATAGGAGTGTGTTGGTGCAGTTATATGAACAATACTGAAAGTGTTCAGGTGAACAGCGGGTTAATGCAGCCTGGCAAAAATGCAAGTGTGTGGGTAATTCAGGAAGCACCACCAGAGCAAAGTGGTGGATGTGAGGTATTGCAAAACCTGCAGTGGGAAAACAGGTGTTGCCCAAGTCTGATGTGATCCAGAGAGATTTGTGCAATGGATCTGCAACCAAGCCCGTCTATTCTTATGTGTCTCCTTGGGCGGATGGTTCGGTGCTGAGGAGCACTGACGAATTGAGCACATATACAATGGATTGGGATAGTTGGGGTAAAAGGCTAATCTCGTTGATAGATGAGGTTTTTTCTGCAAAAAAATAAGGTGGACCCTGTTTCTGCTGTGCCAGCAGGAGGATCTATAGAACAGCCTATAGATAAGGGTGTGTATACAGCAGAGACTTTGTCTGTGACCCACAAAAGTGATGTTGACATGGAGTGTCAAAATGATGTTGTCACTGGGAATGATCAGGGGCAGCTTGTGGATACTGAGTCTGAGACTTTGAGAGTGAGCCCAGCACATGGCAGCGCTCTGGTGGAGAGCAACCAGGCTGTGGTTATCGCCAGATTGGAGGAGGTCCCTTTAAAAATTTCAACTTCTCAAGTCTCAGCAGGTGAGTCTCTCAGCGTTCCCAGTGCCCTAAATATGGTCAGGAAGGTCTTAGGTCTAGAGTCAAGTGGTTGGGTTGTAACCAAAGTATTAAAGGAGATGCTTGAGCTTTGGAATGTACAACCAATTTATACTGGGGTGTCTCCTCCACAGTCAGATGGTCTGGTACTGTGGAGTACCACTAGGTGGAGCACCGAAACGGCTGGCTGTACAGATCAAAGGGAAACAAGAAAGTTGTTTGTTTTGGAATTTGTTGATGGTGTTAAAAGTTGTATCAGGGTATGCTGCTGGACTACCTGTAAATGTATTTGAGAGAAGTCTTGGAGAAATGGAAAATGAGTCAAAAAAGGTTTCACCTCCTAACAGCCAGGTGGGAAGCATTTCTGCTGCTATGGTCCAGGATGGTGCTGGTCAGTTGTCAGTGAAGGGCGTGTTGACTGCACCAGTGGACAAACCACATGAGATGGGAAGGGGGGCCGAGCATGGACCAGAGAACAGCAGAGATCCGGACCAGAGCTCAAACAGATGTGCATAAAGAAATCCAGGGTCATTGGGTCAAAAAGAAGTTTATGTAGCAGTTCTGATAAAGACACCTGAAATACAGGGAGAAAATGGTATGTGAAAAACTGGCAAAATAGATCAAAAGAGAGCTCATCTGTACTGGGTTTGGATACAGATCCAAGTGGTGTAGGAAAAGTTTTAAAATGGTTGGACAGCCGCCTGCAGAGTGCATGACACCAGGTGAAGTGGCATTTTGTGAGGTTCACGTGGGTGATGGCTGCCCTATGGTGTGTGTGCCCTCTACAGACACTGTCCTAACAAATGCTGGAAAAGATATTGAAAGGTGTAATATTGACTGGAATATAACCGTTCATGGTAAACTGAATGCTGTGGTAATGAGTCATGCAGCTTTGATAGCTAAAGGTACAAGAAATCAGGGGGTGGTCCTGGTACAAATACAGTAGAAATAGGTCATCTACAGCCTTGGGACAGTAATACTGAGAGAGGTATTAGGAAACCTGAGCACCTGAAGCAAAGGGGCAGAAAGGTCGATAGAAAGGCCAGGGGGACCCCATTAGGATTTCAAGAAAGAAAGTGTTTATGGAAGTGCACCCGGAAAAAGAGTAGGGAAGGTCTGAGTAGAGCCCATAGCAGAGTGACAATGGGGCTTGGGGGAGAGACACCAAAGGAATCATTGGGTAGAGTTTGCTTTAGGAAAGGTATAGTCAGACCAGATTGGACCCCTGTAAGTGAGAGCTGGCACAGAGGTGCCAGAAGGTATAAGTTGTGTGTTCTGCCCCCTACGGGGTCAAAACAAAGGGGGGGATATGTGACAGTGTGGCAATCTGTCACCCTGGATTCTCAACAAGGCAGGTTGAGGGGCTCCAGGGTAAAGGTTTGATATGGAGGAAAGTGGCTTTTCACTTTCCTCCTTTGTTTGTAAGGTCCATTTTGGGAGCTGGAGCCTGGAGATTTCGAAGCGATTTGGGAGGGATGAAATCTCCAATCCTGGGACCCAGGTTTTGGGAATGGCCAGGAGACTGATTGCACAGGTGTGTGCAGGCCTTTTCAGAGAGTCAGGAGGGCTCCACCCCAGCAGATAGGAGTCAGGAGGGCTCCACCTGGAAGACTGGAGTCAGGAGGGCTCCACCAAGGAGAGGTGGAAGCCAAAAGCGGCAAGGAGCTGCTTGGTAGTAGCTATGTGCTAGTGGCCAGCTGTGTGCAAGAACCATGGTTTTTGAAAGGGTCTGCAGGAGTCAGACGTAAGCCTGAAGAGGAAGGCCAGTGGAAGATTGTATATCTGAAAGAGCCAGGAGGCTGAATTTTTGTTTATGTGGATGATCGATACCCCTGTGTGGGAAACTTCTGTTTGAACTTTCATTTAAATAAAAGTGGGCTAAAAAAGGCCTTAAAAAGCAAGCGAGTTGCTGTGTGCATTTAAAAGCTCTACCACTTTGAAGCGAGCTCCCACAATATTTATAACTAAAAATTATGGTATTAAATGAACATGAGTATGGTTTACTGAAGGAAAAACGTGATGGTCTTAAAACGCAATCAAATATTATATGCCTGCAGACATAACAAGCCAATCAAATATCATAGAACTACACTATCTTGAAACAAACAATGCATTAACAGCAAGCTCATGTTTCAAGAGTAGGTGGGAAATGCCAATCAGGGAAATCATATCTTTTCCTGAGATAAGACTGCCACAAGGTGTTTGTTGATGAATTAGAGTTACATTTCCTTACTTCATTAAAGTATATATCCTCTCAAAGAATCCAGTGTTTACCAAGTTTCCACTAATGTGGTCCACGTCATTTTGATGTGTGGTTACATTTACTATTGCTATTCCCTGTGTGTGAATATCTTCTAAACAAATTTATTATGGTTTTAAAAAGACTCTGTAATTGGTATAGCCTAGAAGGCCTAGTGGGCCAAATGATCTTGGGTGGGTGAAACCAAGATCAAGAACATGGGGACATGACCTCAAACTAACTGGAGGGAAGTTCAAAACTAATCTTAGAAAGTATTATTTTACTGAAAGACTAGTTGATGCTTGGAGCAGACTTCCAGCAGAGGTAGTGAGGCAGTAAACGGTAAGTGGCTTTTAAACATGCTTGGGACAAACTTAGATGTATACTCATACAAAAAAAATACAGAAAATATATATGTAAAAAATGTACAGACTTGATGGACCACTTGGTCTTTTTTTGTCATTAATTTTCTATGTGTCTATGTTTCTATGTAGAACTGCTACAGGTATAAAAAAAAAGAAAAGAAAAAAAAACATGCCACCCTCCATTTTCAGAAAGAAGGATCAGCAACATTGTCAGAAGGAGGAATCAGCAATGGCTCCCCCAGTGTTTATATCACACACTGTATTTGTTGGGCATATGTTTATGTGAATACACAGGCTTAAAAAAATGCAAACTTTAGTGTTAGATTAAATAAACTCTTATTCAAACTCATAGGTTTTAATGACACTTACTTTTAACTATATCCGAATTTCTGACCTGGAATGAAAGCAAAATACACGTATTAAATTATACCAAATATTAACACTGTAACCAGAGTCCATGGTGTTGACATGGTAAAGTCATGATGTATGTGTTTATTATGCCCTATTTGCCTAGTTTAACAATTATTTTAATTCCCAAAGCTTTAAACATACTTTGGATCAGAAATAACTCCTCTGGTATTGTATATGTTTTTGCTGTATTTGTGTATGTTTTTGCGGCAATACCAAGCTCTAGTGAAAAGAATGAGGAGATGCAAGGGGGCAAGAACAATATCCACAAGAGTAAATTATCTAAGGACCCTTGTAGATGAACTTAATGAGGTTAAAAGTAACGAAGAAGTTCAGCTCTCCAGAGAAATAATTATCTACTTGCTTAAGATGATGAGGTCTATGTTGGGTCCTTCAAAATAGAAAGCCATTGTGATTACGGGTTTAATGAATCCGGTGGTTTCCCTCCATAGGAAAATGCTACATTCCAGCAGGTTTGTAAAAAATGAATAGGGAGATTGAGCAGTTCTAAATCTATTTTTAAAGATGATGCTATAGGCCTCTTACACGTGGCCATAAAGAACAGTGTATGGGTGTACAGTGTAACATTTTATCAGGTGGTGTGGCCCCCGGAAGCCACGGCTGCAGTGTATTTTTGCCCATAGGAATGCATTACTAAAACTGTACTGCACGCTTAACTGTTGGCACCACCATTTATTTGCACACATATCTTTGTGGTGGTAACTGCCCAATTAAATGAAGTGATCTGCAGTTCAGTCAAGCACTTTTGGATGTACGATGCACTGTACAGTTGAAAAATAAAGGGTGGATCATTATTCAATAAAGAGGGTTATAATTATTTTATTATATTTTATTTAATCTTGTTATAAAACATGGAGATATTTAGTCTTCTTGTATTACAGTGAAGTATTTGAAAGTCTAGAGGTCTGCCAAGCTCACAAAAGTATACCGAGATAGCAGAAAGCAATGTCTCTTGTAATTAATGAGGTGCTGCTTTTGCAAATTCTTAAGTATGTGTTTTTTTATTACAAAATAATTATGTTTGGCTGGGTACTACATGACAACCATTCACAATTGTAGTTTAAAAGCCTTCATTTTTGAGCAGATGGTCAGATCCTTGGAACTCCTGCCCTACTAATAATACTATACTGAGAGTGGTGTGCTTCCCCTCTCTCCCTCTTCTTATTGTTTTATATCCATTGGAGTATTCTTAAGAAGCTGCCATCAGTTCATGTCTCCACACCTATTTACAGTGGTTTTTGCTTTTATTATCAGATAACATGGATAGACCATAAAAGAGAATATGGTATGCTATTAAGTATTAAGAAATCCATGAATTCACAAATATTCGCTAAAGTATAAAAAATATGATCAGTGATAACTCAAAGCACTATAAACAATATTAAAATATTTCTAACTTACTGCTAGAGATGATTAGACATTGCTATTTTGCAGCATGTAATAATTTACATCTAATTGTGTATAACAATCAGCCTACTTAAGATATCAAGTCATTAATAATCTGCACGTAAGCTATTTCGAACTACAAATCAGGAGCGCACATGTGAAAAGTTAAAAAAGACAGAAATTTGACTCAGCCTTTGAAAGACTGACAAAAAAAATTTCAGAACATAAACCAGTATATAAACATTCATAGATGCAAACACTATATGCTCTGCAAGATAAATGCCCTCAGGATGTTCAAGGGTTTAGAGTACGCAGTTGAGAGACTATTTTTCTGCAGTCAGTCCTAACAAATATAACGTGGATCCTGAAAGGATTTTTTTCCTTATCTGACATACACTGTATGTGCAATATAGTTTGTAGATTTACTTTCACAAATCCTCATATTTACTTAAGAAACATAGCACATAACACAAGTTATTTGTTGTCGATGATTAGTTTACGGGCAGCACAGTAGCTAAGTGGTTAGCACTTCCGCCTGGCAGTACTAGGGTCGTTGGTTTGAATCCCAACCATGACACCACCTGCCTGGCGTTTGCATGTTCTCCCTGTGCCTGCGTGGGTTTCCTCCGGGTACTCTGGTTTCCTCTCACACTCCAAAGACATGCTGGTAGGTTAATTGGTTTCTGTCTAAATTGGCCCTAGTATGTGTATGTATGAATGTGAATTAGACTGTACACCCCTTGAGGGTTAGGGACTGATGTGAATGTACAATATGTATGTAAAGTGCTGCATAAATTGACAGCACTATATAAGTACCTGAAATAAACAAATAAATAAAAAAAATAAATAAATAAAATACCAGATTCTACTTCAACCCTTTTTCAGAACCAGATGCAGGAAGAAGAGGAATTTTGCTCTTCCAGAGCCTGAAAGGCTGGCATTTATCTTGAGGATCCTCCAAATTACTGGAAGTAGGGACTTTCTTGACTTCAGAGCCAGATTTCTGAGCCACCAAGAAAGGGATAATCTTATCCTCAGTGACAAAAGTTGTACTGCAGCAGTCTCGAGTGAAACTGGGCAGCTGGAAGCGTCTCAGAGGAGGCTAGCCTCAAGTCTGGGAATTTCATGCAGAAGCGTTGAGTCACACTCCTAGACCTGAGATGACAAATTTGACTGGAGAGTCTGAGGTTTCTGCTGTGGAGGGAACATTCTAGGCTGAGCTATGTCCAGGACTAGACCCAGATGAATGGGAATGGTGAACAGGTTGTAGTAAAATGCATAAAACCATTCTGCCACAGTGCCTGTGGCAATAACACCTAAATCCAGAAGACCTGAGAAGGCCTAATGGAGATCTGCTAATCTCTGAAATGACACAGGTAGGAGGTGAGAAACCAAGAAGGAAACAGGGAGTAAAACTGCAGTTTATAGCCTTGGGATACCTCCTCTGGAAAGTAGGAGAGTACCTTTTGCTGAGGAAGGCTTGGCTAAACCAACATCTGAATCTGAATCAGATGAAGGGACGCCTCCTGCAAGGCAGGTGAACTGTCAACAAAAAAGTACAGTCTCAGGGGTGTCAACCTGATGCACAAGACAAGGACAGAGGAAATCACCACTAAGATGCAATGACTCCATCCGAAGAAATACTGAGCACCAAAACCCCACCAAACCCCACCAAAAACAGGTAGAATAACATAATAACCTTAACCAGTGATCATGGCAAAGAGGAACATGAAATCATGAAGTCATTTTAGATTGCAGAAGGAGGAATCAACTTCAATACTTGATCAAACAGAAAGGATATAGGCTTGAGGAAAGCCGTGGGAACCAGAGTCCAACGTTCATGCCAGAGAACCAATTCAGGATTTTTGTCGTAACCACCCCAAGAAACTTGCCCAGTTGGGCATCTGGAGGCTGCACGTAAGAATGAGGCATTGTCAAGAAAGACATTGTGTGCCCAGGTGCATACTGTATGTGTGAGCAAGCACAAATTTACATTGAGCCATGCACGAACATGTGATTGTGTGCATATGTGAGCATGCCTGCATGCATGCCCACCAATAAAACAAGCGTCAAGAGGGCTATTTAAGCAGAACTAGTGTACTGCATCCTTGCCATATGGTCTATAACGTTTCCTGTATATCTGCTACCCGTTTCTGCAGCTGACCTCCTGCTGCTCACCCAAACTGCC